AAGGCTATCCCCGCGAGCACGCCACCGATGTGTCCTGCGCTATCAGTCATACCTCCGGTGCGTCGGAGTGCTCCATACAGATCCCAGGCGAAGATGCCACTAACACACAACCACGCTGGAACAGGGACAACAAAGAATAGCAAAAAGGTAGTCTGGGGAAACACGCAGGCAAATAGGGAGATTACGCTGTGCATGTGTTTTTAGAAAAGCGGCGGCTTTCACGTTGCGTGGACGTACCTATAGATTGCCCCCGAAGCACCGTGAGCATTTACAGATCGATGTGAAACCACAGCATTCCAGGCAAGGGAGAAGGCGCTTGCAGCAATTCCTCCCCCCAAGTAAAGCGCAAGGAATGCCGAGTTTCCTAGCATGCGCATCACAGGAGGCGCCATAAACCTTGCAAGGTGTCGGTTAAGATACTCGGTTAAGAACCTGATACTCACCAAAACGACATCCCATTTACCAATAGATGGCCGGTAGCTTCGTGAGAAAAGCAGGCGGTCAAAAGAGTCCATCTGATGAACGACATGGTTAGTGCGCGAGACTTTTTGACTAAGGTCTGACGCTTACATCCTGCCATCCATAACGTTTTGCAGCGAGGTAGTAAAGTTTTTATACATGAATACGAGGGGACCTGGGTCTCTAAATTTTTGCTGCGAAAGATCAGATGTGATGCTACAAGGTTCGGCAATACACACCAAGTTTTCATGTCCCCAAGCCCACATAAAAAACACTGCTCCATTGATTCCAATGATTGCATAGAAGATAAGATCCGGGTTCGTATTGTCGAGTCGCCTCCTCCACCGTGCAACAAAACCGTCGCCACTATTGCTTCCAAACGGGGGTCGAAGCGGGCGGGAAACCCGTCGCACAGAAGTTCGTTCAATGGCACTCCTGAGACCGCGGGTAAGCGCCTGGATGGGCGATCTGGAAGCTGGCGTAGATGTATTACACGACCGAGGTAGCGTTGACAGATGTGCCACCCGAAATGGCGGACTAGTACGAGTAAATATACCCAGGGGACGACCAGGGCATGTCTGAAGCCAAGGGCGGCTGGGCACAATGTTTTGTCCAAGAGAACGTAAAGCGCCCAGTCTGACTGCCATTCCAAGGTATTACTACGAAGAATGGTTGGTGAGTGACGGATGCTAAAGCACAGATACAGCATTATTTGGTAGCCAGGGGGCTGGAACTCATGACAGTATTCTGACGTCGGAAGATATCTCCTATGGCGCAATTGGCGGCGCGTCTGACTGTTAATCAGAAGGTTGCTAGTTCGAATCTAGCTGGGAGAGTATATTTACTATTTTTTCATAGTGCTCGTCCATGACACGCATCAAAAGGTCAGTGCGACAGTCTGGTTGTTTTATTGCGGCTGTTAAGTTGGCTCGTGGCAGACACTCAAGTTTCCCACACGGCGATCGCACGTGAACTAATGATTCACCCGAACATGACGGCGAAGCGGGGGGTCGATGGATCTGAGAGAACTGACGGGTGCACGCACCTGGGATTTTTAGCCGAGGCTCCGTCCCTCTATATTCGAATCGCCGATGAAACGTCGCCACACTCTCGAACCGCGTGGGGCTGCATCGGGAGCGCAAACGCGGGTCCACGAACCCGCAAATGCACCACGGCTTGTGCAGAGTCGGGTTGTGCATATAGGGGCCGGCATCTCATGTGATCAATGCCATCATATTGCTACCAGAGTCGATCTGCTTTGAACGCACGCCGATCCTAAATATGACGAGATTTCTTGCATGCATGCAAGAGTCGGCTTACCCCCACCCCCCGCAAGTTTCGAACATGTCTGCAACGGGTTGGTTTGTTAGTTCGATCCTAACTGGGAGAATCCTTTTTATCGTCATCCCTACGACGTTAAATAACAGTGTTTTGATAAAAGACACTTTTTTCGCCAGGGAATTTTTTCGACGGGTCTGGAGTGCACGTAGCGGTAACTCGATTGATTATTCTGTAGCTCACGTGATACTCTTACCAAAAAGGGCAAGAAGGGAACCACTCGCTGGACCGTCTGATAGACTTTTCATCATCAGCTCTTTTTGAAAGCAAAGCAACTAGATAACGTCGAAGAAAGCGAATGATACAAGGCGAGAGTTTAATTATACAGGTAGGCGGTAGTAGATGGCTGATGATTTTGAGATCGGTGCCGAGTCAGAGATGATGGATGGCCAGCGCATTACGGTTCCAAGTTCGTGAACCCACTGTACAGGAGTGCGTGATAGTTATCTGGGGTTTTATGCATGACTAGGAAAAAGTCGGTGAGTACAAAGCCAGTGCGAGGAACCTGCTCACTTACTGCATTTGTAGCGTTCTGACACGTTGGGCATGATGCTCTACGGAAACGAGTTAGGATAGATGCATGATACTCACAGTGTGGAACTACTTGCCCCATCTTTCAATCGCACCGAGTACATCCAGTGTCCGTTGACTTCTTTCATATCAACGACGGTACCTATGGGCAATCCCACGGTATTAGCCACCCAAATACTTGACAAGGCAAAGTCCCAGGGAGGACGTTGCACTCTTCTCACCTGCTACCCAGCGTACCTGTTGGTACGTCTGCGGCTCGGCGCTCAGATACTTGGCAAAGACCTTGTCTCCCTTCTATATATGCACTATTTCAGTTTTCTAAAGGTTACCCGCGAGAAAGGAGTGGGAGCGCACCAGGTATGGCATAGAGGACATTATGGCGTAAGAGTGTCTATTCAGAGGGGAGACGCAAATGATAATGGCGGATCAGTGTCGGCCAGATGTCTCCTTTTAAGCTGCAGCCAGACGATGGCAATTAAACCCGAGAAGAAAAAAGCACGCGGGCAAAGGACCAAGCAGCGGGGGGTCTTTGACCTCTCTGTTGGTGACAGGTGTTGAATGGAGGGTCAACGGGCTCCGCAACTCACTTTTCGGGAATGGACCCTGAATGTGTGCTTCTTCCGGTTCCAAATCCCGCGCGCCGAAACACGTTTTTCGTCGACCAAGACAACCGGCCGAAAGAACAAAGATTTATTGCACTAGCGTATGCGATACCGCCGATGCGGTTGTCATCCTGTAATCCACCGGTTCAAGCCGAACATTAGTGTCGAGCCTGTCTTTTTGTTCTGCACAAAAGAAAAGAAAATTCCCTCACCCCGGTCCTCCACCAACGCACAAGGGATGCCAGTGCCCAGACCCACTCGATGTCCACACGACATCGATGATCGAGTGTCCGTTGCTATCAACAAAAGATAGTGAATTGCTTTTGGAGCGTGGTTCGAGTTGCGTCATGTCCAGAATATTTGTTGGTTTTGGAGCATATGGTCGTCGTAACAGGGAACAACTTCTGGGCCGCGCAGAGTGTCCGAGTCTGGTCGCCAATGTGGGGAAGCACTGCCACCAGTTAGCCACCCAACCACAACCACCATGGCTGCTCTGGCACAGGACCCGTTGGCTCAAAACCTAGCACTGGCTGATGTCGTTCACCCCGACTTTCACCAGGTCAACTCGACCATCGAGGCTTACATAAAAAATCAGCTGGGCCTAAAACTGGACACTGGTGCGTTCCCCGCCAAAAAAAATTACACAAATGGCCCAACGGTTTCCCTTTGTAGATGAACAAATATGTCGGCTTGCGTTAACTCCGGCGGGATGTCCCCTCGGACCGCTCCACTGTCCTTTGAGGCATACCACGCCGAGCCCGTTGAACTTCGGCCCTCCCGAGGCATCGTCGGTCGGTCGCGACCGACTAGCCACTGTATGCAAACACTGGCTTCGCGGGCTTTGCAAAAAGGGTGACGCGTGTGAATTCCTGCACGAGTACAACCTCAGGCGTATGCCCGAATGTTGGTGGTTCGCCCGCCACGGGACATGCACGGCCGGTGACGAGTGTTTATACGCACATCCGAAAGAGCGAAAGATAGAGTGCCCCGATTACCAGCGAGGGTTTTGCAGGCTGGGTACGTGCGAGCTAGCCCGATCGTAGACCTTGTTTGAGACCCCCCCCCCCGATGTATAGGTCCGGACTGCCCCCGAAAACATGTTCGACGTGTCGCTTGCCAGTTGTATCTGAGCGGGTTTTGTCCAGATGGTCCGGAATGTAAGCGTGGACAGTGAGTTCCTTGCACATCCTTCATTAATTGGATCACATCCATTCACCTGGCACTTAGCCCTAAACCAGATATTCCTCCACCCGAAGCGTACCGACCGCCCTCGCCGCCGTCTCAGCGTGATCTAGGCCCTCCACCTCCCGGTTACGGACGCTTTGAGCATGGGGGTGGCCAAGGCGGACCTGCAGGTGGGTTTGTTGTTGGGGCTAACAATCCTGGGTTTGTTCCGCGGCGCAATTTGGACGATGTGCTATGTTTCAAGGTAGGATAACTCTACTATTAGTCATGCACACTAATTTAAACGT